CCAAATTCCACCAGGCGCAGTGGCTCATGCCTGAAATCCAAGCACTTTGGGAGGCTGAGGTGGGTGGATCACCTGGGGTCAGGAGTTCGAGACCAGTCTGGCCAACATGGTGAAACCCCGTCTCTACTAATAATATAAAAATTAGCCAGGTATGGTGGTGTGTGTGCATGTAATCCCAGCTACTCTGGAGGCTGAAGCAGGCGAATCACTTGAACCCGGGAGGTAGAAGTTGTAGTGAGCCCAGACTGTGCCACTGCACTTCAGCCTGGGCAACAGAGTGAAACTGTTTCTCAAAAAAAAAAAAAAAAAAAAAAAAAGAGTCCCCAACTCGTCGCCTATTAAGAAGTAGAATCTAAGTCTTTTAATAGGATCTATTTCTTCTTCCACCTCTTCTTACCTCCCCTTCCCCACTCCCTCAAGTTTTGACTAAACCTCTATCTTGAAAAATAAGCTCTTACCTCCCACCACTGAACCATACTGTCCATTCCTACAAGAAGCTCTGCTTCCTGTCAACAAAGAAAAGGAATGTGCTAGGCTGGGCACAGTGGCTCATACCTGCAATCCCAGCACTTTGGGAGGCTGAGGTGGGCAGATCATGAGGTCAGAAGTTTGATACCAGCCTGGTCAACATAGTAAAACCCTGTCTCTACGAAAAATTAAAAAATTAACCAGGGGTGGTGGCGCGTGCCTGTAATCCCAAAATCTCAGCTACTGGGGAGGCTAAGGCAGGATAATCGCTTGGACCCAGGAGGCGGAGGTTGCAGTGAGCCAAGATCACGCCACTGCACTCCAGCCTGGGTGACAGAGCGAGACTCCATCACAAAAAAAAAAAAAGAAAGAAAACAAAAGGAATGCGCTAATGTAAGCAAAGTGTGTGTCTCTAGAGTGGCCACAGTCTGGATGGAGCTCACATAGGCTGGAGGAAGAGGAGAGACCAGTAGTCAATGCTTAAGGCAAGTTTTCTGCATTCTGTTAAGCCATTTCTGCTACCACCATCACCCTAGACATTGTCCAGTGTCCAGTCTCTGGCACTGGCTGGCTGAATGGAAAGGAAAATAGGACCACCTGGGCCCAGTCTTCATTACACCAGATGTGGCTGCCCTCTGGACCTCTCAGACTGCGTGTGGCTCAGCAATGGCAGCTTTTGTTGTTCTGGTCTGGCTAAGTCAGGTCTGGACCTCTTTGTGAGAGGAGACCTGACTTAACCAGACCAGAACAACAAAAGCTGTTTTGTCCCATGTCCTATAACCACACACCTATAGCATGACTGGACACTGGTCGAACTGGCCTCTTCTTTCTAAATGGGGATTTGAAATAGCTTTGCACTTTTCCTCCTCTCTTGACTCACTTGCCTTTGCCATTCCATATCATTATTTTTACTTGATTGTAGTCCATGTTTCAAGATGAATCTGGTACAGGGTCTTATGGCCGCAAGGTGGCCTGAGTAGCTGGGACCACAGGCACATGCCACGATGCCCGGCTAATTTTTTAATTATTTTGTAGAGACGGGTTCTTGCTATGTTGCCCATGCTGGTCTTGAACTCCTGGCCTCAAGTGATCCTCCTGTCTTAGCCTCCCAAAGTGCTGGGATTACAGGCATGAGCCACTGCACCTGGCCTTAAAATTTTTTTGTTCCACATGACATATCTATCTACATCAAGAATTAAGTTACCTTGGCCTGGCACAGTGGTTCATGCCTGTAATCCTAGCACTTTGGGAGGCTAAGGCGAGCAGATCACTTGAGGTAAGGAGTACGAGACCAGTCTGGACAACATGGTGAAACCCCATCTCTACTAAAAATACAGCAATTAGCTGTCTGTGATGGTGGGTGCCTGTAGTCCCAGGCACTCAGGAGGCTGAAGCAGGAGAATCGCTTGGACCTGGGAGGCAGAGGTTGCAGTGAGCCAACATGGTGCCACTGCACTCCAGCCTGGGCAATAGAGGGAAACTCTGTCTCAAAAAAAAAAAAAAAAAAAGAATTAAGCTACCTTATAATAGCACACAATTAACATTTTTAAGTTAGTGACTTCAGAGTCTATCTGAAAATAAAAATGGTTAAAAACAATTTTTCTTTAGACATTACCTTGCTTGAAATGGCCCCCATTTTCTAATGGCTAAAAAAATGGAGATGAGTGATTAAAGTTCATCCCCAGGACATACTCTTGGCCCTGGGAGGGCAGGAATGCATGAGATTCTTTAGTAACATTCATATGCACAAGAACTGACTACTGACATAATCTTTAATAATTAAGATTATTATTCAGTTTATAATTTAAAAGCTCTGACAGCTAAATGTTAAGGTATAATTTATAATGAAAGCATTTGAGTGATTGAGGTATATTTCACTGAGCTGGTTTGTCTTATGAGTTGAAATTTAAGACTTGTATAAACATAAGAAGGGAAACCTTTCCCAGGTTTATGTAGTTAGGTAGGAATACTTAATGCCCCTCATTCCCAACTGTGCTGTAGTGCCCTCTGTGTGGTGATCAGAGTCTACAGGCAGCAAATCCACAGGATTTAAGGGACATTTATTTTTCAGTACAACAGCTGCATATAAGACCACCAGCTACCATTACATAACAAAAGTACATATTATCTTTGAGACACACAACTTTACAGTATTTTCCTAGTGCTTTTAAAATTTTACAATCTTAGCTTTGGAGTTCTTTTAAAATGACAATAACAAAAACAAAATAATGAAAAATTCAAAAGTGCATGTATCAGAGAAACACAGCAATACTATACTATGTCTTACATCATTTGGGAAATTAGATACCAGTCACATCCTCTAGCAATAATAGGCTGGAGTGCAGTGGCATCATCACGGTTCACTGCAGCCTCAATCTCCCAGGCTCAGGTGATCCTCCCATCTCTGCCTCCTAAGTAGCTGGGACTACAGATACACACCAAATCCTGCTAAGTTTTTGTATTTTTAGTAGAGAAGGAAGGGGTTTCACCATGTTGCTCAGGCTGGTCTCGAACTCCAGGGCTCAAGTGATCTACTCACCTTGGCTTCCCAAAGTGCTGAGATTATAGGCATAAGCCACCTCTTGCCTGGCCACCAGCAATAATTTAAAACAACTCATTAATTTATCATCAAGTTAAGACAGAATCTGCTAGTGCGAGATGAATCAAAGTTCATAGCTTTTCAAATAAAATACACAATTGATATGATTTGCAATCACCCACACACAGTAAGAAAAGAGTATTTAGACTAAGCCATCTCTCAAAATATCTAATATATAAATTGAGATCAGAAACAGTCTGTTTGATTTGTGGTTTCTTCTCCCTGACAGCTAATAATACTATTATATACAGAGCCAACAAGCCACTTGTCTTATCATGTCATGATAACATGATAATATAAATCACGTGTTCTTTTCTAAGTTGGCCACTGTAAAGAGATGTTTTGTGTGTATTAGATTATTTCCTCAGTGGTGGCTCATGCCTGTAACCCCAGCTCTTTGGGAGGCTGAAGTGGATGGATCACTTGAGGCCAGGAGTTCCAGAACAGTCTGGCTAACATGGCAAAACCCATCTCTACCAAAAATACAAAAATTAACTGGGTATGGTGGTGCACCCCTGTGATTCCAGCTACTCAGGAGGCTTAGGCAGGAGAATCACTTGAACCCGGGAGGCGGAGGTTACAGTAAGCTGAGATCTTGCCGCTGCACTCCAGCCTGGGCAGCAGAGTGAGACTCCATCTCAAAAAACAAAACAGAGGCTGGGCATTGTGGCTCGCGCCTATAATCCCAACACTTTGGGAGGCCGAGACAGGCAGATCACTTGAGCTCAGGAGCTTGAGACCAGCCTGGCCAACATGGTAAAAGCCTGTCTCCTACTAAAAATACAAAAGTTAGGTGGGCATAGTGGTGCATGCCTGTAGTCCCACTTACTCAGGAGGCTGAGGCATGAGAATCACTTGAACCCAAGAGGTGGAGGTTGCAGTGAGCAGAGATTGCACCACTGCACTCCAGCCTGGGAAACAGAATGAGACTCAATCAAAAAAAAAAAAAAAAAGACAGCATGGTTACAACAGCATGCTCCTTTGAACCTTTGAGTGAAAATATGCAATTTCTCCTCTGTAATTCTCAAACCTACTGAAACCTGTCATCATATCTAGCAGTTTAATAAAATTTTATGAAAATCTACAACAAATACAATTCTTTGACATTAAAACACTTGTAACTGGTTGAGATTTAAAAGTAATACCATCAAAGGCAAAGTTCTACTATTTAACAGGATGACTTAGAAGTTATCTGTTTTTTCAACACGGTTGTTTTCTTCAACAGTGTTTTCCCCCAATTAAATGCTTTAAAAACTAGCCAAATGAATAAATCTTAAGATTAGCAAGAAAATAATTAATCTGAAATTCTTGCTGTTAAATTTAGTGTTTACAATTCAGCTTGAGGTAAGTTTAAAGAAGCTTTGATTTCATTCCTTAGGATAAAGATTCTTTTTTAGCACTTCTTATGCAATAACTTATAATAGTGAATGGTTGAATCCAAATCTCATTTTACTTTTTATTTCTTTACATATTATATGAGTAGGTAAATATATTTACAAATATTTAAATATGCAAGTACTTTTCTACATATTAATATGTAGAGAACTTTTATTATGTATCTTTCTTTAAAAAAGATATGCTTTGGTCACATTATGAGTATATTCATGTAAAACTGGGCCAGGCATGGTGGCTCATGCCTATAATCCCAACACTTTAGGAGGCCACATTTTTTTTAAGCCAGGAGTTCAAGACTAGCCTAGCAACACAGTGAGACCCCATCTCTACAAAAAATAAAATAATTAGCCAGGTGTGGTGGCATGCACCTATAGTCCCAGCTACTTGGGAGACTGAGGCACGAGGCCTGCTTGAGCTTGGGAGGTCAAGGCTGTAGTGAGCTATGTCATGCCACTACACTCCAGCCCAGGAAACAGAGTGAGGCTCTGTCTTAAAACACACACCCACCCACACACACACACACACACACACACACACACACCCCAATAAAACATATAAACTATCAGATATGACCAAAACATAGTCATGTTCACCTGAATCAACTGAATGCTAGTTTTTGCCTTCGAATGATCTTTTACTTCACACTTCACTGCCAAAAGCTGGAAGAAAACGGAGATGAAAACAAAATAAAATGGTGGTTCAATTGCTCTATTAGTTCAACTAAGTCCATTAATACACCTTTTACGTTTGCTAATCTTGGGTCAAGCTCAGCAACTTTAAAGCTGTGGGTTATTGGGAAGTAAATAAATTTCACATTGGAAAGGGGAACAGTAATAACTGAGAAAAGCAAGAAAGGGAGATACAAGGGAATGTAAGTCAGCAAAAACCATGACTGATATTTATTTATTTTCCGATGTCTTTATTGCATCCCATTGTTTTGGGATTCCGTATCTTTCCCACAAACATCTCTACTTCATGGCTCTGATCCCTAGGTCCTGCTGAAAACTGAAACCACTGGTTCAGTCAAACCAGCTAGCTGCTCCCCAGGTACTTAATGTCATGTGGTATGGTGAGAGAAGCCCATGGAGGTTCTCACTGGGGCAGATTCAGGGGGTCTGCTCCAGCCTGAATTTATCTCAGGATAGTCACTCTGTATCCCACACCCTCTCAAGGTGCAGATCATTGCCAGAACTCCCAAATCAGACTGGATTTCTCTCATTTCACAATGGCCAAGCAGGTAGCTTGTGAACAGCAACGGACAAGGGGAGAAGGAGCCAGACCACAACACTGATTATGAAGAGGGTCATGAGGGCTCACTTGAGGCCCCCATCAGGCCTGAACTTGCCACTCTCTCCAGGGTGGCTACAGCTCATCTAGCCCAGATGAAAGAGGGTGGGGTGGCTATGCAGTGACTAGGGAAGGTAATGAACTCAGCTGCTCACTGACACCTGGTCTCCTGTTCACAATGGACTGCAGGGATTCCCAGAGCCTTCAACAAATTGCAAACACAGTAAGATACAGAATAACCCTCTAGGAAGGTAGCCAAGCCCTGTCCTCTGACAAAACCATTTCTAATACTCCAAACAAGTTTTATAAGAGGGAAAAATAACTACTTATAGAAGTTACTGCATCTTCATATTACTGCAAGTTTCCTTCAACTGAAATGGCTTCTTAGACCAACTTAAGCACAGTATGGTTTGCACAAAAATGGAATACTGGTATATTACAAACACAGATTTTATCCTTTTAAACTAGTAAGACTGCACCAATAGATATGAACTTTTCTGTTTGTAACAGATACTACAGAAATGTGTGCATTCTTTAGATATATACACAATTGTTTGCTTTCATGTGACTTCTTTTTTCCAATAGTTTCTCTTACACTATATAGTAGTGACTCTTACACTGAACAGATAAGCTGTTTATTCCATGTTCAGAGAGATAAATCTGAACATCTAACTATGGGTTCACATGTAAACTTCCAGAAATTTTGTTTGTTATGTCTCATATAATAAATATAGAATTATGTCATAGTATTTAAAAACAATAGCCACCACTTCTACCAGCCCCCACTGGGGAAGAGCTTAAGGCTGTGAGTCTGTTGGAGTGTTGTCATGATTTGCTTTTTCTCCAGAAACAGGATGCTTCAGAAATTGACCAGTAGCACCGATGTATAATCTTGATCGCATGGGCCATTTCTGAAAAATATTATTTAAAAAAGAATTCAAAAGTTAGTATCTATGACATATATTAACATGGTCTGCAAGATTAAAGATTGCAAATAGTCCAATGCAAATGCAATGTTATGTAGCTAGTAAAGGAACAACATGAAAAAAAGTTTATTAATGCTAACAGTAAGAAAACAAAAATATACTCAGACTTTGATTAATTTTTTTTTTTTTTTTTT